GAAAATGTGGAAAAAATCCAAGACGTCACAGTGGTGGTTATGGAGGTTGCGATTGTGACTAGTGAGTGGAGAGAGAGAAAGAAGGGGTGGGAGGTGGTGGGTGATGGTGGCGATGGTGGGTGCTCTTGGGGTAGATTGAAGAATGTATACATGTATATGGTGTACATTGACTAAGGCTAGTTTGGTTATTTTAGGTAGTTAAAGGGTAAATATGTACTTTCATCATGGTTGGGTGTTTTTGTTCAGTTTACCGAACCTGGGAGTGTCATTGTCAAAAAAATGTCTAAGTTGTATCTACCTGTTTTTAAGGCAAACCCGAGGGGTGTGAGTGCAAATTATCCTAATTTTAACTTTAACATTAATATAATTTTATTTAATCTAATACTCCAGAATATTTGGGAATATATAACAATATTATTATTTAATGTCAAGTAAATAATCTCACTGAAGTACAAAAGTGATACAAAAACCCCACTTTAGTTGCAATTTATCCGGTCCGATGATCAGTGCTCGTAATCATGGTATGACAGGTGAATTAGTAGAATTTGAAGAAGGTACCAAAGGCATTGCTTTGAATTTGGAAAAGAAGTGTAAAAACAATACGAAGAAGAAAAATGTTTTGAATGGCGATGAAGACAATGGAGCTATGGAACATACCAACCATGACACTCTTATTCATATCCATCAAGGTGAAGCAGAGCATTCTGAAGCATGCAAGGGAAATCAATTGAGCCATCATGATAGACCCATCGGAGCAGAGTTTCCACGGCGTCAGAGGCACGGATTTGGTGACGTGAGTTCAGCTGCCGGCGAGAGGTGGTGCCGGAGTGAGAAGGTGGCCGGTGAAAATAATAAAAAGCATAGGATATAACTTGTGTTGTAATTCAATACATCTATTTTTGCTGTGTTTGAGGATATAAATAATACTTGGTTTGAACATATTTTTAACCTAGTATTAACTTGTGATCTGTTGAATGTCTTTATTTCCTATTGCATTCAAAGGTGGTAGGTGTTATTAGCTAACTTTTGAAAATTTAGGATTTTGTTTCCTCTAACAAGGAGCAATTTCCACCTGTTCCAATGGGTCACCAACTCACCCCATCCCATATGAAATTAGAATCAAAAGTCTTTTGCACCTCGAATCCAAATGTTTTAAAAAGTATTTGTATATATAAATTTTACTCTTTGAATTTTTTTTATTTTTCATTATTTTTAATGAATTTTCGTTCATTGTTACGTACAAATTTAACAAAATATGATTACAATTAAGTATTTGTTTATCTTCAATTCTTGTTCTAAATTATTTATCTTGAATTTGAGTACAATTGGTTTCAGTTGCTTATTAATCATGAATAGTATATGCTCTAAATTTTCCATAACCTTGAAGCAAGATAGAACTGATTTTTCTACACGAAAATGATTTTCTTTGGAAGAGTTTCAATTGTCAAAAACTTTTCAAACTGATTTTTCTGACCTTTAAGCCATGTCAACATCAATTACAAGCATTCGCATGGTGGAGCCCTTATCACGAAAGTGAAGAGAGTGGGAAGGCCATTCATTGATATCTAATCTTTTGACATGAATTCCTCTCTGTTCACGTTGAAAAGTCTGCTCCGCTGTTAAGCGTTGACTTCAATTACAAGCTTATGCTAAAACCATTGTTGGAGAGGCTCCAAGAGAAACAACTCATCCCATGTATGATCTGATTTTTCTGAATTTTATAGAAGAAGAAAACCCTAAAATACAACATAGCAGCAGCTACTTCCTCCATCACCTCCTTCTGAGAAGGTTTCTCCCTCACCTCCATCTGATGGGATTGAGAGCGACCGTTTGCGGGAGCAAAACTTCCGGCTGAGGCAAGACTTTCTACGCCTACTGCAAGGTTAGATCTCTCCTCTCTCTCGATTCTTAGAAATTTCTCAACATTGTTAGTGTCTATTGAATACTTGTTGAGTCAAATTTTAATAATGCAAGTCCTAGCTTCTGCTAAAAAGGTTTCTGTTACTTATAACAGTTGTTCAACAGTACTTCAACTGATCATAAGTAGGGGCTCTGGTATTAATTTTTGCTTGAGTTTTATTGAAGATTTAATAGACGAATCAGGGAGGAAAATCCTCGAGTAATTGATGTAGTTTCCTATTATTGAAGACATGTTGTTATTAGAGATATCAGTGGAGAACAATTCTCCTTGTTTCCTATTTTCTATCTCTTTCCATTGTCTTAATTTCTTCTCCAATATAGAGGAGCCTCTACCATTGTATTGTGTATGAGTTGAGAGATTATAATAGAGACTATGTAACCATTTGGGCTTTGTGAGTCGTGGATGTAAGCCCTAGCTGAACCACCACGTAATATCTATGTTTTTCTCGTTTAATTTCTCTTTACATATGTTTTATACTTCACAACAAGTTTAAATGTGTCTTTATTTAACCATTTACTAGAGTATATTTAATAAGATCTATTTTAAAATTCTAATGAACAATTGTAACTATAATTTCTAATCCAACAAAAAAATCTTAATTCTTAATACATCTACTTCTGCTGTGCTTGAGCATATATGTATTGTAACGACCCGAACCCATGTGTCCGAACCGTTAATCGGGTCTTTACCCGAACCCGAGGTTAACTAGGTCACACCATCCGTCACTTGAGTCCATGTCTTTCATATGAGTCAATTCAGGGTCCCAAAATACCCCAAAACACATCCTTACAGAGAGGGTCAAAGGATACTAGTCAAAAGGGAAGAATCAGCCGATTGATGGCCCTTCACCGGCCGGCTGACAGGGCAAGGTCGGTCGGCTAACCTACAGGGTCGGCTGGCTGAAACGATTATCCAAAGTGAGTGCTCTCGGGACTTGCTACTATAGGCGTTTTGGTCGGCTGGTGGGAAGGTTCGGTCGGCCGAACCTGGAGTTTCGGTCGGCTGATGGTGAGGTTCAGCCGGCCGAAACAATGTTTTTTGGTCCTGAACTCTCTAGAATAGTTGCTATTTGCAGCTTATAGTCTCCTCAACCTGGGCTCGATGTGAACTAAATCCGTATTGAACCTGATATGCAAGCCAATCCCGAATTCACGGCAAAATATAAATAACATCACACAGATACAAATATCAATAGTATCAAGAAACAAGTTGTCATTTTCCTATTCATCGTAAAATAATTACATGGTCTCATTTTACTTCAATAAACCATCATGAGTTATAGTTACATTACATGATCATGATTTATGGAATGAGTACTCTTTACAAAGGTTTGAGACTTTACAAAGAATAGGTCCCAATAAACAAAAGGCACAAAAATAAATTCCTAGTCTTTCTCATGCTTGTGAAGGGTCGGCGTCCACTACTTCCTTTCCCTACCCTGAAAAAAATGTTAAATGGTAGGATGAGCATAAAGCTCAGGTGGTGCCTAAGACACACCTCTTGAAGCTCCATGAATCCAAATAATGAATAGGAATAGAGGATAGGGATCATGCTAAGCCGGGAAAGAATACAACATCAAGTCCAAATTCAAAATAAACAATGCCGTACCGTGAATGCCATGCCATGTATGTTGCTCCCCATTTTCAAAACCATCCATCCATCACCTTTCAAACCACTAACATAACCCGTCCCTCGGTAACCCCTCGGCGACATGAGAGAAGGATTGACTACTGTCCCTGACCCTTGGTAACCCCGCGGGGTCATTTGGGGCCCAAATAGCTCAACTGCGCTAGGGTGATTCCCTAGTTCTCTCTAGGCTACGTTAACGCCAAGGACCCTCGGTACCCCCTTGGCGTCCGGGTTTTTCACAAAACCACTTTAATCAAACCTTTTTCTCAAAACCCCTTTTTTCATTCTCTTCAAAACAATTGCCCTTTTTCATGCCCAATGTCATGTATGCATGTCATAGACTTTGTCATTGTTATGAAAATAAAGGAACTTGCACTATACAACTAGACATGTTTTCTTATGGCAATTTTCAACAAGTTAATAAGTATCATAGGCATGAAAATCTAACACTTAGGCATGTTATTCATACAAATTAATTAATACACATAACTATGAATTTCATGCACAACATTTACATCATATTAAAGACAATCAACTCAAATTAAACATACATGATAACAAATATTGGATGAAAACTCACAAAGGAATAAGAAATTGAGAATTAGAGACCCCTACCTTAAGATATGCAAAAACCCCTAATTTTGTGCCCTAGATCTCAAATTTTCCAAGTGCATTAAACAAGAAATTGCTCTGATTAAATCGTAAATCTCGACGAGCTCTTTAATTTGCAGCAAACGGCTCCCAAAAATACCAAGAATTGAGGGAGAAATCAAACTTTGAAGATTTGCTTAAAAGAAAAAAGAAAAATGAAACAAAGAAAAGGGGAAGAGAGTGCAGCGTGAGGGGGAGCGAGGGAATGAGAGAAATGAGGCTTACCAAATGGCATTATGCCATTAAAATGTGAAATGGGTGGTGGGTCCCACCACCTTTTTCTTTCTAACATTATTTTTACACCACAATTATATGCATACATATTCAATAATTCACAACCACTTAATTATAATAAATAAGATGCATGAGGTACAAATGGATCCAACTAAAAATCTCTGTACGCAACAATTCCTGTAGCGGGTCCCACACGGGACCGTCCGATCCGAAAAACGAAAAATTGCAAAAATGGCAACCTTGGCATTTCTAAGAGTTCTGAACTCAATGAAATGTCCCAACCAACTTTCGGACACAACTAATACACTCCACGGTGTTTGGCACGCAAAGCGAGAAAAGACGAGAATGCCCTTGCATGAACGAAAAAACTCCACAAAAAATAGAAAATGGCGAAATTCAGAAATATTACATGTACATAGTCTGAACATATTTTTAACCTATTAATTTGTGTCTATGCAATAATTGTTGGGTTAAATTTTAATAATGCAAGTCGTTACATAAGCAGTTAAACAGTCTTTCAACTGATCAAGGTCTGTTCCATTATTTGCAGTTGAATTTCAAGTTGCTGCTAAGTAAGACCACTATTGGATAGAGCTTAAACAGGTTGTGAAAAAATTAGTTAGGGATGACAGAAACTGTTGTCGGTTTTCTGTTGGAGAACATGCTGCAACTGATAAATTCTAATGACAAATTGATTCTCAAGGCTTATTAGGAAAAAGTCATTGAGAGGGAACAAATCCAATCGCTTTATGAGGATATGCAATTCCTACAAAAGTTTTTGAAGGATTCGGAGGACAAACGAGATGAGCATAAAGAGCTGAAGAGCCTGGTGGAGAAGATTAGAGAAGTCAGTTACAGGGCAGAAGATATTATTGATTGGTTCGTACTCAATGTTGCCTTGCAGAGAGATGGAAACATTACTGATGATATCCCTCTCTACTTGAGTTTTTCCGAAAGTATTGTTCACCTGGCTCGGGAGATTTCTGACCGTCTTAAACCTTCAATGACCGATATTGCTTCTATCAAGGAATGCAATAGAGAGATGATGGGTATTCTCTCGTGGCTTGAGTCTCGCATGGCTGACAAAATTCATCTATATCTCTATGGTGATGCAGTAGAAGAGATAGAGTTTATGATGTCCATCATCAAAGAGGTGATCGAGATTCATGAGAAGGGCTCTAGTCTCAGATGGTTTGAGCTGTCTCGCAAAGTTGATTGCCTCAATGGTTTGTACTATAAGGTGCGTTTCCAGGCTGAGATGCTTTACCGGGCTGAGATAATTCGTAATAATTGCTCTGACCGTGCCAGAGAAGATTCCAATCCTAAAGAGGCACAAGTGACGGATTTTTGGAAGGGATTGAGGCTCACGATTTTCTTATCTAGAGACTATTATCTCCTCTTTAGGAGGCTCGAAGAGATGGTCAGCATGGCTAAGAAAATTTGTCGTGCATTACCCGGTGTCACAAAAGAGATAATGCTTATCAAGACTAAGGTGACAAAGATCTATGAGAGGAGATCAAGTGACAAATGGCTTAATTCTCTCGTGACTAATGAATTCTGTCATTTCCTTAGTTTGTCCGAAGAGATGCTTGAACTTGCAAAGAAAAATTTTCATAGCTTCGATGGTGTCATAGAAGAGATTAAGCCCATCATGATAGAGGTCATGAATATCAACCAGAAGGGATTGAGACTCTCATGGCTTGAGTCTCCTATAGCTGATCAATTCCGTCAAGGGTTTGCTATTATCAGAAAAGAGATTGAATCCACTAAGATAGAGGTGATGCAGATTTATAAGGAGATGTATGGCATTGGATTTTCGCAAGTTCGGAAGTCTTCACATGGAGCTTTGTCAAAACCCGCTAGCTCCATAGTCAAGGAAGAAATCATAGTGGGCTTTGATGATGAAACAACAAAGATCAAACAGCTGCTTATTGAAGAGCATCAAAAGCAGCTAAAAGTTATTCCAATCATTGGGATGCCTGGACTTGGTAAGACTACTTTGGCAATGCAAGTGTACAACGATGACTACATTGAGTATCACTTTCATATTCGTGCATGGACCTATGTATCCCAAGTGTACCAGAGGAGAGATTTGCTGATTAAAATTTTGAGTTCTGCACATATCCAGCTTAAAGGTAAATTTGACGGAATGAGCGATCAACAATTAGGTGAAGGACTATACAAAAGTTTAAAAGATAAGAAATATCTCATTGTTATAGACGATATATGGGAGTTCAGGGCCTGGGATGATTTGAAAAGATATTTTCCAGATGACAAGATCGGAAGCAGAATTATATTTACTAGTCGACATGCAGCTGTAGCTATGGCTATGCAAGTTGAACCTCATTATTTGCGGTTTCTAAATCCTGATGAAAGTTGGGATCTATTGCATCAAAAGGCATTTCGAGGAGGAAGTTACCCTGAAGAGTTGGAGGAAGTCGGAAAGCAAATTGCCAAAAAATGTCAAGGACTACCACTTGCAATTCTTGTAATAGCTGGACTTCTCGCAAAGAAAGAAAAAGTATTGGAGGCATGTTGCTTAAAATATAAGTTCATACATCGTTACTCACCCGGAGAAATACATGGACACATTAGCGTTAAGTTATGATCACTTGCCTCGTCACTTGAAACCATGCTTTCTCTATTTTGGAGCATTCCTTGAAGACTCTGAAATTTCAGTTTGGGAGTTGATTTGATTATGGATTGCTGAGGGATTTATACCGCAAAATCAGGCAAAAAGTTTAGAGGAAGTGGCGGAGGATTTCATGATGGATCTAATTGATAGAAGTTTAGTGATTGTTTCTAAAAAAACTCTAATGGTGGAATCAAAGCATGTCGTGTCAATGATCTTTTGCATGACTTATGCTTTAGAAAAGCAGAGGAAGAAAATTTTTTAGCCATATTTCAAGGTAAGGACCCAAATGTGTCTTCTACTGGAAAAATGTCACGTCGCATTTGCATCCATCCGCATTTTCAATAATTAGCTTCTTGGTCTCACCACAAAGTTGAAACATGTGTTAATTCAAATCATGCTATTGAGATCCGCTCTTTCTCCTCAACTTTGAAGTTATCTGAGTCTTTTGTGTCATCATTATGTGGAGCCTTCAAACTTCTGAGGGTGTTGAACATATCATTCATCAAAATTTTCTCATTTCCCGAGGAACTACAAATGCTAGTTGTTACAAGGGGAGACTTGTCCCACATCGGATCCGGATGGGAAGTAACATGGGTATAATATGCAGCACTACCCAACAGTTCGAGTTTTTGGGTAAATGGGCAAGTACCCACCCGTTACAGTTGGTATTAGAGCCAGACCTTGTCCTTGATCTGGTGCCACGCCAAGCGCCTGGCCCGGAAGGCGTCCGGGTGAGCCACCCAGGGTAGGCAGGGTGGCCCGACCGCAATGAGGGCGTTGCGAGTTCAGGTGGGGGAGAATGTTACAAGGGGAGACTTGTCCCACATTAGATCCGGATGGGAAATAACATGGGTATAAATGGGTGGGTATGCGAATGTTACAAGGGGAGACTTGTCCCACATCAGATCCGGATGAGAAGTAACATGGGTATAAATGGGTGGGTATGCAGCACTACCCGACAGTTTGAGCTTTTGGGTAAATGGGCAAGTGCCCACCCGTTACACTAGTCCACTTGAGATATTTATCGTTTCATGTTGAGGGCGAGGAGCAATATTTCCGACCATTGATTTCCAACCTCAGCAAGCTAGAAACATTTATTGTTGAAGGAGAACCAACAGGTTGGTTATCTTTTTCATATGATATCTGGAGGATGGTGAAGTTGAGGCATCTACATACAAAGCGGTCTATTGAAATCCCTCATGTACCCGATAATGACCATCACTTTGTATTGGATAACTTACAAACCATAGGTAAATTAGATCTTTGTGGTCTTGATGAACAAGTCTTGTGATGGATTCCAAATCTCAAAAAACTAACATGTTCTTTTATGGAGTCATTGGGTGGGGACAATATTTTTCCTAAACGGAATTTTCTAATTCACCTTATATCTCTGAATGTAAGTTACAGTGGATTCAGAGGACATCTTAGAAGATTTCCCCAACTGAATGAGTTTCCCCCGAATCTCAAAAGCTTAACTTTGTCAAATTTTCGTCTATCTTGGAAGCAAATGTCCACCCTTGGAAGGTTACCTAACCTTGAGGATCTTAAATTATCATACAAGGCCTTCGAGGGACCAATGTGGGACACAAGTAATGGGTAGTTTCACAAACTCAGATTCTTGAAGTTTCAACGCCTGGATATTAATCAATGGAATGCTTCTGGTAATCACTTTCCCAGCCTTCAGATGTTGGCGTTGGAGGACTGCAAACAACTCGAGGAGATCCCATCTGGTTTAGGTGATATTCTTACACTGGAGATGATTCGGCTCTGGTATTGTAGCAGCTCCGTGTCATGTTCTGTTAGGCAAATCCAGAAACAACAACGAAGCATGGGATACGATGGATTTAAGATCTTTATCCACCCCTGGAATAATTTTGACGACAATGAGGACGATGAGGATAATGAAGATGAAAAAAGTTGAAGCTGACCAGGATGACACCAATGACTAAGATCAGGTGGTTTCAGTTTGTTAGTTGAACAAATGCAACAGTTTCAAAATCTATACTTTCATTTTTAATTATAATAAATAGGCTTTCTTTTTCAGTAGTTGTTTTTCTTTTGTATATATAACTAGGATAGATTTACACACTACCAGTCAGAGTATAACACTAGTATAGACATCGATTTATATGATTTATGCCTAAAATAGCAATATAAGAATATACGCCCAATAGATGAAGCTTAACAATCCAATATATATTATATGTACGCATGTATATAAAGATTTCAAGGAAAGATGTGTCAATCTATGAATTGGGGCTTCCACACCCTCAAATTCTTTCATATTCCTTCCATCAAATGCACCATATATACAAGGCACTAGAAGTAGAGAGAAATACATTCACCAGTCATTGTATAGTAAATATAAGTACCATTCCTACAACAAAAGTTTTAACTTTTAAATATTTCTCCAATTTTTTTAAGAACTATTAAATAAACTATACAAGATGAACTGCTGATTAAGATAAGGAGTACATACAAAAAAATAGAACCTTTCAACTTCTAAACAAAAATCTGGTTTCAAATACTGGTTTTGAGGACATGCGCTGCTTGTTACCTAATCGATTTCCTTAATGGAAAAAATAATAATAATCAATATAGGTGTTGAATACAAATAAGGATGTTTTTCAACTATCACCTCACCTTTACAGAACAATAAAGGAAAGGAATAGATTATAGAAGAAAAATGTCAATTCACATTATATAGAGTCCTGCTATTTGGCCCGACAAATAAAAACCTACTACTTCACCGAGTTTATGTAGCTATTCATGTGTCAACAAATATATTGGGACCCATTTTAAAATATAAGGTAATTGACTACTTTGAAAGTTGTAATCTCTTTTCTAGGTTAAAAATGGATTCGTTGAAATCATCCGAAAAAACACTAGTCTAAACGGGTTTAACCTTTTGATGGTCTAAACGGGTTCCAAAATCTTTAGCCATCTGTTCTACGTCACAAACATACCCAAAATCTTCGAATCCATTCCATCTGCTATTGGTATCTTGACCAAGCTCTTCGGCTTGGATATGTTCAAAAATTAAATATCTGACCAATTTGTTCGACATTGCTTTAAACAACAAAAGACTTTCAGGTAACATTCCTCCGAAAATTGGCTAGCTACCAAAATTGGCACGTCTTAACTTGGCAAAAAATAATTAAATGGCTCAGTCCCTAAAGAGTGCATGAAACTATTATACTTGAATTTGAGCAAAAGTAAAAAAGCTAGATGTGCACATGAATCAGATTGAATCGGTTTTCAAAAAAATTAGAGCCATTCCAATTCTCATGGTTCCAACAACATTAGAACCAATCTGAACCGATCAATTGTCTCTCTTCCAAGAAAGGAGGTGGCCTTGGTCTCAAGAAGGTTAAAGAGATTGATAACACTCCGAGGTGCCTTCTTCTCCAGGATTATTTGCAAGGTAAGGTGTGACGGCCTAAGTTTTTCAACCCAGTGCGTCAGTGATGAACCGAAAGTTAATCTGATAACAGATCCGAAATGCAGAAGCAAATGATAAACCAAGGTCTTAAGAGATAAGAATCACTCCTAAGACACAAATGTGACCTTTCACGAGATCACAGGACTTAAAGAGAGCAAAAGCGGGAACAAATGTCAAAAAGGACAAAATTCGTTATCAAAGGGGCAAAACGGTCAATTCACAAATAAAGTGAGAGACTTGACTCTAATCAAGTCAAACAAGGATAATACAACCTAATCTAATCATTTCAAGACATCCCAAGAGGTTTTAAGAACATTGGCTAAGAATTCCACAAAATGCCCCTTCCCGGTTGAAGTGAAAACTGACACTACTCCACTAAAACATAAATATCTCTCACTGTGTTTAGAATTTGAGAATGGACTAGGTACCATTGGAAATCTGACTCAAAATCCTTGAGTTTAGGCTCAAGAATCACCCCATTTAGATTAGAAACGAAGAAGTTATGGCCTTTCGAAGTTGGACCATCAGTACTGAAACAGAACTGAAGAGTTGCGCAAATGAGGGCTATTTCGGTCGACCGAAATAGAAATAGGGTGAGTTTCAGTCCACTAAAACTCACAGAATACTTTCTGAAAATATTGTTTTAAGGCTTGGTTGGTTCGGTAGACCGGTTTGAGGTATCGGTCGATCGAAATAGAGTTTCAGTCGACCGAAACTCCTTGAAATGTTGTTGAATGCTCCTCCAAACATATGGAATTGCAATGGAACCTATGGGATTCATTCTACCCACACGCATAGATCAAAATTTGTTTCATTTTAAGGAAGATTGAACATACGAACATGTCAATTACAAGAATTTTATATGTCAAACCTCCAAGATGGTTTAAATACATTTTTAAAACAAAAGTTGGCACCAAATAGATACAAGTACTAATTTCAACATGCTTGGCCCTTGGGCTCCATACATATATGCTTCTAATATCAAAAGTAAGTACTTAGGTATCATTACACATTAAGGTAGCTACATTAGCCCCAAAAATACCATACATCCATGGTATGTAAAAATAGAATATCCGAAAGTGAAGCATGTTAAACACTTGCATGTCAAAATACAAAAATGTTCCAAATTGCTCATTAGCCTCTAAGGATGATGAGCATCCAAGAACATAGTCTCCTTACCTGAAAAATAACCCAAACCACTAGGGTGAGTAATCAAGTTACTTGTAGGAAGAAGCATATGCGTATACCATAAAGTTTCAATATCTTTGCAAGATCAATATAGACGAATACAAGGGAGCATTCCACTTAACGTCTATGTTCAAGGTGTTCTAAGGGATCATCTTAAGCTAACTTAAATATTTCTTAGCAACACATATCAATATCAATGTACTTAACAACATCAATTCGCCAATAACAAAAATCACAAGTTACAATTAAGCATTGGTTGTCAACTTGGAATTTAATGCGAAATCAATTAGTGGAATACTTGGACATCATGTCTTGGACTAAACCAAGACCGCCCTAGTGCATCAAAATGGTTATTCCGAGCATTAACCCGCTGGGAAGACCACCCTAGTGCGCACTATCTCAATTGGGGAGAACTCATACCTCCCGCACTAAAGCCAAACTTTAGCTATGTCACTTCAACAATGTCCCAAAATAATCCAAAATCACAACAAGTTCAAAACTCAAACACTATGATTAAGGCATATAAACCATCTTCCATGCACAAGTATTTTGAAACCACACAAACCATGTCTTAGGGTTCCAAATCTAAAATGGCAGAATAAATGACAAGTATTCATCATGATATAATGTATAAAACAATATCACTACTTATCAATTTAGATCATGCCTCAACAATAAACTTTATCTACTAATCATCAACAATTTAGCAACAAGCTTATAAAATAAACACAATAAGTCCTTGACAAGCATATAGAATTATCGCCACCATAAGATAACAATTTAAATCAATAGAATTTTCTTATGGCATTTATAATTCTACAAGAGTCCTATACTACTACCACATGTGAAAACACTAGAATTTAACATACTACTAAATCATACAACCTTTCTACACATGGTATATACAAATTATACATGCTTAATTCAATAAACCCTAAGTCAACAAGTGAGGGTTTCCTATAATATGCAAGACTATCATATTAAAAGCATGAATACAATATATATTAAACCCCAAAGGACTTAAAACACTTAAAATATGAATATACTACCACCCCTACCTCAATAGAGAATTGAATCTCTATAATCCAAGCAACCAAGCTTAAAATGTCAAACAAGTTTAGGGTTGATGAAGAGGAGAGAGTGAGGGGAAACTTTTGTGTTCCAAGGTTTTTGATCTAAGGTGAGTGGAAGGAAGCCAAAAATGAAGTCAAAACTATGAACCAAGCTTTTCTCCAATGGTTGCTAGGTTAGGGTTTTGAGAAAACAAGTGAAATGAAAAAGATAAAGTGTGAAATAGTGAGTGGAAGGGCTAGAAATCCTCCACTCACTATGTGTTCTTACACTACCTCTCTCACACACACAATGCAAGACTTATTTTGGCGCCTACACTTGTCACAATCCAAGGTTCCTTCCTAGGCTCAATCTTAAGCCTACACTTGTCAACCATCTAAGCCAACAAGTGCACCAATCCTAGGCCAACATGTGGGTGAATCTCCACCCTCCAAATGTCAAAAGATTACACATCCAAAGCACTCCACCCCATTGCCGACAAGTGGCACCATGAGAATGTGACACTTGTCACATTTTCCAAAAATTGCAAAAAGGTCTTTTTGAAAAATATCTTCCAAAATAAATTACAAAATGGTCCCTAAAACGAAAAATAATTACTTTATGTAACTACACAAAAACCCCAAAAATA